GGGGGAGGGGGAAGCCGGCCCAGGAAAGGGCCCCCGCCCCCTCCCCTAGCCTGGCCGGCCTGGGGGAGGCACAGGGGGTGAGGACTGGGTGGAGAAAAGAAAGCTGGCCATCGGGAGAAGTGGGGGAGGGGAGGGCCTGATTGGGGGGAGGGGGCCGCCCCCTTCCCCCCCTCCCCCCAGAACCTCGGCTCTGCCCTGGATGAGGCTAGGGCCTGGAATCCTTAAGCCCTCAGCCCCCACGGGAAAGCATGCTGGGGGCCAGGAGAGGCCGGGCAGTGATGGGGCTATAGAGGACAGGGTACTGGCAGCCCTGGAGAGACCCAGAGGGGGGCAGACGAGGTGGTGGAGAGATGGGGAGGAGAGAGAGGAGGGAGGAGAGGATGGAGAGGAGCAGGTGGAAGAGGAAGGCGGAGGAGGGTGGGGTGTCCCGGGGGCGGCCCGCGCTCGGTGGGAGGGCCTGGCCACGGACTCCTAGTCCCTGGCGAGCAGCAGCCGCGGGTGGCTCCGTGTCCCCAGCCAGGCCTGCCTCCCTGCTGCCGGCCGCTACTACCGCTGCCTCCACGATCCTTCTCCCCTCCGAGGCGGCCGCCTGCCTGCCCGCGCTGGGTCCTGGAGCGCGGGGGGTGGAGGGGAGAGATGTAGGGAGGGAGGGAGGCAGGGAGGAGGGCGAGCAGGAGGAAGGGAGGGAAGCAGTCAGGGAGCAAGGAGGGAGGGGGTCAGGGGAGGGGGTGATGGTATTGGTCGGGGCTGGGGGGCCTTGCGAGGAGAATGCTGATGAGAAGAACGAGCTCCATTAGATGGAGGGCCCACCCCCGGGCCACCCCCTCCAACCACACCATGCCACCGCCCTGCCCAGGCAGCCTTGGGCACTAAAGCCTGTGGAGATGAGAGGTGTCAGTGGGCAGAACTGGGGAGAAGGCCCTGGAGATTGGGAAAGAGGAGTACAGAGGTGGAGAAAAATGCAGAAAGACAGCCATCAAGACCCAGAGGGGTGGGCCAAAGCCCACCAACTCCACAAGGACAAGGACAGGGATAAGAAAGAAAGCCACATGGGGACAGGAGAGCAGCTTATGGGCGAAAGGTGTCTGAATGTGGAGAGAGGCCAGAGATAAGAGGGAGGCCATGGACATAGAGAGGTTCCTCAGGCTTATGGAACAAGCCACAGAAAGGATAACCAGGAAGCATCCACAGGGCCAGGAGCCAGCCAGATGAGCAGGAGGTCACAGAATCAGGGAATAGGCCCACAGATACAAGAGACCCACTGAGGCAGGTGTGAGGTAGGTCTTGGAGATGGGACTGAAAAGCCCCCAGAAAGAGAGATGTTGAGGGGAGGAGGAGGATGGGAATTCTCCAGAGTCACAGAGAAATCCTGGGGACCCATGGAGATGAGTGGGTGGGGAGAAGAGGGCTTCATTTTCCAGTCACCTGAGCAGAGACGCAGTAGGAAGGGGTTGGCAAAAGGGCAGGGAGTTGGAGGCCAGGACCAGAGCTGGGAGACGCCCTCCTGCCCAGAGAACACTACTGTCTCTCTGAGGGAGCCAGAAGGGCAGGGGGATGGAACAGACAATCGACACATCTTCAAGTGGGGGTGGGTGGTGCACGGCTGGGTGTGTGGGGGGGTGAAATTTGGGGGGAAGGAACATGACAGTTGGTGCTGAAGGCTGAGCCCGTGACTCACCACCACCACCCCCATGCTCGTGATGGGGAGGAGACACTGACATACTCACGTGCAGCCCCCAGCACACGTGACCACATGCCTCGCACACACAGTTGGCACGTGGCAACTCACAGATTATACCCAGGCCTGGCATGCTGAGCTGAGTTCTTGGCTCTGTGGGGCATGCCTAACATGTTACACATACATCTGACCCTAAAGGACTACTGATTTTGCATCTCCATCCTCACTCTACTTGGTTAATACCTACAGTCTACTTAACACCCATGCTCAGGGTCTTTGCTTATGCAAGGACCTCAACATCTACCCTCTTTAAATATAACCTGTACCCAGTGTCACCAGACTGAGACGGGGCCTAACCAACGGAAATTTAGTTAAGAAGTCCAAGCAGAAGGTTTGCAGAAAACAGCTGGAGATGCCAAGCTGGACCCTGAAGAAGAGAGAAGGGGACCTTAGAAGCAGCAAAACACTGCCTAAGGGCACAGAGCCTGTCAAAGGCTGAGCCTAGTTTACACTTTTGCTATTATATGACTCCACCAAAGGGTGAACCCAGACTACATTAGGGAGCAGATAGGCCCTGTTTTAGAGCTAATTCCCACCAACTGCTTTGGTCTTTTTGCATCACCCATTTGCTGTGCGACCACAATCACTTCACCTGGCAAGGGGAGTTACAGGCCTAAGTAGGGATCAACTCTTAGGTGGGAATCCTGGTTTTCTTCCTATAGGAAACTGGACATACGACCTAACTTCTTGGGCCTCAGTTTCTTTATAAACTCCAGATAATTGTTTTTCTTCCTTAAGAGGGTTGTTGAGATTAAATTAAATGAAGCATAGACAGCACTAGGCATAACACCTCTTTTTCTTTCTCTCTCTCTCTCTCTCTCTCTGTCTCTCTCTCTCTCTCCTTTCTTTTTTAGACAGGCTCTATTTTTTTTGAGACCAGGCTGGCCTCAAACTCAGAGATCCTCCTGCCTCTGCCTCCCAAGTGATGAGATTTAAAGGCATGTACCACCACACTCAGGCTCACCCAGTATCTCTTAAGTCACTTAGATGGCAGCTATCATTAGGCACCTTGAGACACTAATAGCAGTAATTCCTATATAAGAGATTTTACTTTGTGCCTTACAACTTTGGGACCAAGGCTATCATTATCCCCATTTTACAGATGGAAACTAAGGCACAGCTGGGAAGTGCCAGGGCCAAGACTTCAGTCTAGGCAACCTGGTTTAATCATGTGTGTCTGGTGTTAGGGAGTCTAGTGGAACGGTAGGGACACCAATGGAAGGATACAAGAAAGGTGGTGATGGGATTCAGACCTAGATTTGACTCTGTGTTCAGTTTCCCGGCAGCTTGTTAGCTTCAGATGAGTAAATGACCCAACTCTGAGATTCAGTTTTCTCATCTGAGAAATGAAAGGTAGAGGGTTTTGACCAAGTGCCCTGACAACTCCTTTGACCTTGGGTTCAGGGAGGAGCTCTCTAAAAACTTTTTTTTGGTATGTGTGTACTTGTGCACACTGGCACACTTGTGTGCATGCATGTGGATGATAGATGCAGATATCAGTATCTTCCTCAGTCATTCTGTACCTTATTTCTTAGTTTTTAAATTACATTTATTTGTGGGGGGTACACACATGTGATGTTGCATATATGAAGGTCAGATGACAACTTGCAGGAGTTGGTTCTCTCCTTCTACCATGTGGGTCCCAGGGATCAAACTCCGTGACAGGCTGAAAGTGCCTTTACTGGTTCTGGTTGAAGCATCTCCTTTGAAAAAAACAAACAAATTGGGGGGGGGGGGTAACATGTTTTGCCTGCATGTATGCAAGTGCAACACGTGTACAAATGCCCATGGAGGCCAGAAGAGGGCATTGGATCTCCTGAAATTGGAGTTACAGATGGTTGTTAGCCACCATATGGCTGCTAGGAGCTGAACCCAGGTCCTTTGTAAGGGCAGCCAGTGCTCTTAACTGCTGAGCCACTGCTCCAGCCCTTTTGGGGTTTTTTTTTTTTTTTTTTTTTTTTTTTAAACTGGGTCTCCCTGTAGTCCCCCAGCTGGCCTGGAACTTGCTATGTAGATCAGACTGGCCTTGATCTCATGGGGATCCACCTACCTCTGCCCCCCAAGTGCTGGGATTGAGTGTACAGCCACGCCTAGCTTTCCCCCCCTCCAAATCTGTGTATGTGTGTGTATGTGCACAGGATGCAGGGACCTACAGAAGCCAGAGGTGGATACTCCTGGAGCTGGAGTTACAGGCGTTGTGAACCACCTGACATGGGTGCTGGGAATCAAACTCTGGGCCTCTGGAAAAGCATTAAGGGCTCTTAACTGTTGAGCACTCTCTCCAACTTAGTGTTCGAGACAGGGTCTCTTCTCTCATTGACCCTGGAGCCTGTTATGACATCCCCAGCGACTGAATAACACACACACCATGCACCAGGCTTTTACATGGGTGCTGGGGTTGGGGAGGACCTCAGGTCTTCAATGTTTGCACAGCCAGCACTTGACAGGCTGAGCCCTGTGAAAGCATGTCTAAGGGTGCTGGGGCAACTTGCTCCCAAAGCAAAGGGTCGGAGTGGAAAGGTCACTAGGGAGGGCTGGAGTCCCTTCCAAGCATGTGGGAAACCCATTCTGCCTGAGCTGTGCTGGGTCAGTCGACCTAAAAGGAAGCAGACTAGTCCGTCCAACTACGGATCCACTTCCCTAAGACGACTCCATCAGGACTGTCTGCAGGCCCTCCATCCCAACACACAGCCTTCTTCCAAAGAAACGTCCTGACCTAGCTTTCCCCCATTCCATTTCCCACTTCCTGTCATGTCCTTCAGGTTTTCCATTTCCCCTAGAGGACGTCTCTCAACTTCGTTTCTACCCCACCCCTTAGTCCCGCGTCGTCGTCCTCCCCACCCCATCCCCGCCCCGCCTCTGAATAAAATCAGTCTGCAGCCTTGGGGATCCCTTTACTCCATGTGACTGATGCTGCAGGAGTCCCAGCCTCCCAGTCAGGCCGAGTGGTTTCACTTTCTCTCACTGACCCTTGGGGTTCCCTGGGTCGGAAATCCTAGGCGCTTGGAGCTCCGCGTGCCTCAATACCACACACTTGGCTCTAAACCCCACCGCCCAGTCTAGCCCGGAGCCCCTAAGATGGCGCCCGCAGCTTCGTCCCGCCTCTCGACGTCATCGCACCGCCCTCGACTCAGCGCGGCCCTTCTGAGCCATCAAAGGCGGAGTCCAGGAGGACGATCCTCCAGGGAGGCTTAAAGGGGCGGGCACTATCCACCTGGAGGCCGGAGGGTGAGGGAACGTCGCTAGAGGATTGGCTGGGTGCCGCGGGTTCCCGACCCTCTGCCCTATTGGCTGAAGCCTCAGAAACATGAGCGCCGATTAGTCGAACGGCACGGGCCAGGCGGGCAGTAATTGGCTCGCTGTGCAGTCTGCGCGGCGGCGGAGGAAGGTGGGGCGGGGCGTTGCTGCGGGCTAGAGCGAGGCTGCGGAGCAGGCGAGACGGCGGAGCTAGAGAGGACGCTGCGCTAGGGTGGCGGTGCGAGGGGAGCAGCCACCCGCGGCCCGGTCCGGGGCATGCGAGACGGCTGAGGCGGGTGAGTTCCAGCGGGATCGCGGAGGCCCGGCCCGCCCCGGCCTGATTCCCTCGCCCGCGTCGCTCGGCTTGCGCACTGAAGGCCCAGAGGAGCGCGCACCGGGTGGGGAGGGCGGAGCGGCGCCAACCGCCGCCCGGCTCGAGCTCCGGGCGGGGGCCGGGCACGGCCGAGCGGGGCCGGGCGGGGGCGGGGCGGCGGGTGGGAAAGGGTACTGGAATTGTGCTCCCGGCTGAGTGAGGCGAGGTGGGGCTGCAGCTGCGGGCTAGGAAGCGACAGGGGCGGAAAGGGGAGGGCTCTCGGGTTCGAGGCGAAGGGCTTGTGTCTGTGTGCTGAGGGTCCTGCAAGCGAAGGGGGACGGTTAGGAGGACTCTTGGGTGACGGGGTGCGGGGTGGGGCCGAGAAAGGTGGTAATTGACGCGGGGTGGTGGGCATCGATTTGTGCCTGGAAAGAAAGAATTAGAGCAGAGAAGGGGTTTTGGTGTGCAGAGGATTAGGAAACAAAATATCTTCAAGGAGAGAGAGATCCAGGTGTGAAAAATGGAGTGAAATTAAGGCAAAACATGAAAGCTGCAGATTGACTACCCTTGGGCCGTGTTGAGAGGGGCCTTAAATTCTTACGAAGAGACTGGAGGTCGTAGAATAAGCTGGAGAGGGGAGTGATTGTTTTGTTTTAGGTACAGGTAAATAGGCCAAAGTGAAGTTAAGATTGGGGTATCCCTGGGTGTAGGGGGAGAGAGAGAGAGATGTGCTAAGGAGAGACGGTAGTCTGAATTCCTGCGATTAGAATGAGATAGGCCACATTGATAACTTGAGGGGGGGTGTCCTGTATTCCCTAGTTGTAGGGTCGTGAGAATGGCAGATGTGAAGGACTCTTTGCTGTGTTCTAGTACTGATGGAGGTTTTTGTATGAGAAGTTTTGGGAGTCTTGAGTATTCCTGAAGGGGATAGGGGCAGTAAAGGGGAAGGAAGGTAAGGCCACTGTGAAGGGTAGTTTGATATCCCTGGACAGGGTCATAGTATGTGAAGGTCTTGTTAAAAAAAGTGAACTTAAATTTATGTAAAATAGGGGTCTGGAAATTCCTTGGGTGGGTTTGGATCTTTTCACAAAGAAAAAAAGTTTAGTTTGATTCTGTGAAGGGAGGATTGGGAATGGATTAGAGTTGATGTGGGCCCTTTGTACCAAGAACTTAGGTTGATAGGAAGAGGTGGTATGGGCATTCCCAGATGAGTTAGGGTGGCCTTATGAAGAAGAGGGATTTAGGTCACTTTGAAAAGGGGACCTGGGTGTCAAAGGGGATTAACATTGTAGACTTGGTTTTGATACAAAGAAAAGGTGACTAGTGTGAAGTACTGGGATACCCTGGAGGCATGTGGTAGAAAGGTGGAAATGGTTCAGGTGTGAAGAAAGGATTAGGCCTTTGTGGAGCTGGGTCTTCTAAAAAGAGGCTTGGGTACAGGAGGCCTTGATCTGTTCAAGAATTTCAAGAGTCTGAGTATCATGAAGTGGTTAGGGTGGGAAAAGGATGGAGATGACTTGGGTCAGTGTGAGAAGTTTTGATTAGGAGAACAGATCATTTATTGTGAGGAATCTGGGCAACAGGGTTTGTGCTTAGCAGAGGTTGAGTGGAAAGTAGAGGCTCACACAATGTCAGAGTGCCTAAAATAGGATGGCAGGGCCTTGGCTTCTGCACCAGTTGGAGTGGCCTGGTGAAAGAAGTTTGTGAACCTGAGAGATAGCGATCTCAGGCAAAACAGGCCAGCAAGGTCTGTGTGAGGGTTTGCTGGGTAGTTTGGCAAGGGAGTGCTGTATAAATTGGTGAGGAGGCAGGGGAAGGAAATCTTCAGCGAAAGGAGAGAAAGGAGACAGGTTCCTGTGTGCTGAATGGCCTTGGGGGCTGGCTTGGAGGCATGGGAACCAAGGGGATAGGTTACAAGATCTGGTGGGTGGAGTTGGATACAAGTTGATTGAGAGGTGAGACTTGGGTAGAGTTCTTGGGAAGGGACTGCTGGGGCATTTTTGTGTTGTTTTTATGTTCGGGGAAGGAAGGGTTGTTAGGGAGGGGCTTGAAGCAGGAAAGTCTAATCAAGAGATTGGAGGAGGAACTGGGTCTGTGGTATTAGAAGGTAGAGGTGATAGAGGAAAGAACTGCCCCTGGGAAGGACTGACTTGTCCCTGCTCTCTTCTCAGCCCAGGGACTTGCTGTTGCCATGACCGAGGAGTCTGAGGAGACAGTCCTGTACATTGAGCACCGCTATGTCTGCTCTGAGTGCAACCAGCTCTATGGATCTCTGGAGGAGGTGCTTCTGCACCAGAACTCCCACGTGCCCCAGCAGCACTTTGAGCTGGTGGGTGTGGCTGACCCTGGCGTCACAGTGGCCACAGAGGCAGCTTCAGGCACTGGCCTCTATCAGACTCTTGTACAGGAGAGCCAGTACCAGTGTCTTGAGTGTGGGCAACTACTGATGTCACCCAGCCAGCTCCTGGAGCACCAGGAGCTACACCTGAAAATGATGGGGCCCCAGGAGGCAGTGCCAGCTGAGCCACCACCCAAGGTGCCCCCCTTGAGCTCCAGCACCATTCACTATGAGTGTGTGGATTGTAAGGCTCTCTTTGCCAGCCAAGAGCTCTGGCTCAGTCATCGGCAGACCCATCTCCGGGCCATGCCCACCAAGGCTCCTGCTCCAGTTGTCTTGGGGTCACCCGTTGTCATAGGCCCCCCTGTGGGTCAGGCCCGTGTGGCTGTGGAACATTCATACCGAAAGGCTGAAGAGGGTGGGGAAGGGGCGACTGTCCCGTCTGCAGCTGCCACCACCACTGAGGTAGTGACCGAAGTGGAACTGCTCCTCTACAAGTGCTCCGAGTGCTCCCAGCTCTTCCAGCTGCCTGCTGACTTCCTGGAGCACCAGGCCACCCACTTCCCTGCTTCTGTTCCAGAGGAGCCTGCTATACAACAGGAGACCATGATCCCACCACCTGCAGAGGTTCCAGCCCCTCAGCCTGACCCCCTTCCTGCCTCTGATCACAGTTACGAGCTGCGCAATGGGGAGGCCATTGGACGGGATCGTCGGGGCCGCAAACCGAGGAGGAACAACAGTGGAGAGTCCAGTGGGGCAGCCACCCAGGAACTCTTCTGCTCAGCCTGCGAACAGCTCTTTCTCTCACCCCACCAGCTCCAGCAGCACCTGCGGAGTCACCGGGAGGGCATCTTTAAGTGTCCCCTGTGCAGTCGTGTCTTCCCCAGCCCCTCCAGTCTGGACCAGCACCTTGGTGACCACAGCAGTGAGTCTCACTTTCTGTGTGTAGACTGTGGCCTGGCCTTTGGCACAGAAGCCCTCCTTCTGGCCCACCGAAGAGCCCACACCCCGAATCCTCTGCATTCATGCCCCTGTGGGAAGACCTTTGTCAACCTCACCAAGTTCCTGTACCACCGGCGTACTCATGGGGCAGGAGGTGTCCCTCTGCCTACAACCCCGGTCCCACCAGAGGAGCCTGCCATTGGTTTTCCTGAGCCAGTCCCTGCAGAAACAGGAGAGCCGGAGGCCCCGGAGGTCCCAGAGCCTCCCGTTCTCCCTGGGTCTGAGGAGAGTTCGACAGAGCCTGCAGCTCCAGGCACTTACCGCTGCCTCCTTTGCAGCCGTGAGTTTGGCAAGGCCTTGCAGCTGACCCGGCACCAGCGTTTCGTGCACCGGCTGGAGCGGCGCCATAAATGCAGCATTTGTGGCAAGATGTTCAAGAAGAAGTCTCACGTGCGGAACCATCTGCGCACGCACACCGGGGAGCGGCCCTTCCCCTGCCCTGACTGCTCCAAGCCCTTCAACTCACCTGCCAACCTGGCCCGCCACAGGCTCACGCACACCGGGGAGCGGCCCTACCGCTGTGGGGACTGTGGTAAGGCCTTCACTCAGAGCTCCACGCTGCGGCAGCACCGCCTGGTGCACGCCCAGCATTTCCCCTACCGCTGCCAGGAGTGCGGGGTGCGCTTCCACCGCCCGTACCGCCTGCTCATGCACCGCTACCACCACACGGGGGAGTACCCCTACAAGTGTCGGGAGTGTCCCCGCTCCTTCCTGCTGCGCCGCCTGCTGGAGGTGCACCAGCTGGTGGTCCACGCAGGGCGCCAGCCCCACCGCTGCTCCTCCTGTGGGGCAGCCTTCCCTTCCTCCCTACGGCTGCGTGAGCACCGCTGTGCAGCTGCGGCGACCCAGGCCCCGCGGCGCTTCGAGTGTGGGACCTGCGGCAAGAAAGTGGGCTCTGCTGCACGGCTGCAGGCGCATGAGGCGGCTCACGCTGCTGCCGGTCCCGGGGAGGTCCTGGCTAAGGAGCCCCCAGCTCCCAGGGCCTCAAGGGCCTCGCGCACATCAGTTACTCCCTCCCCGATAGCCCTTGGGAGCAGCGTCCCTGCGACCCCTGCAGCCCCTGCCCGCCGCCGGGGCCTGGAGTGCAGCGAGTGCAAGAAGTTGTTCAGCACGGAGACATCACTGCAGGTACACCGGCGGATCCACACGGGTGAGCGGCCATACCCGTGTCCAGACTGTGGGAAGGCTTTCCGTCAGAGTACCCACCTGAAAGACCACCGGCGCTTGCACACAGGCGAGCGGCCCTTTGCCTGTGAGGTGTGTGGCAAGGCCTTTGCCATCTCCATGCGCCTGGCAGAACATCGCCGCATCCACACAGGTGAACGGCCCTATTCTTGCCCCGACTGTGGAAAGAGCTACCGCTCCTTCTCCAACCTCTGGAAGCACCGCAAGACTCACCAGCAGCAGCATCAGGCTGCGGTGAGGCAGCAGCTGGCAGAGGCAGAGGCCGCTGTGGGCCTGGCTGTGATGGAAACTGCAGTTGAGGCTCTGCCCTTGGTGGAAGCCATTGAGATCTACCCTCTAGCCGAGACTGAGGGGGTCCAGATCAGTGGCTGACTCCCCCATTTTCCTCTTCAGCACCACCATGCCCTGCTGCTGAAGGGCCCTCCAACAGCCCCTGAAAACCTCTATACATACTGTACCCCTCTCTTCTTCACCACCATATAAGTTCTGAAACTGGATTTACTTTATTTTCTGAAGGGGCTGCTCTGGGGTCCTTGGTATATAAGGTCTCATCCCTTTCTCCCCACCTTCCACCTGTTTGGTGGTCCCAAAGTGAGACAGTCAATAAAGACTGAGTTGGATATTTCTGTGCTTTTGTTAGGCCCAGCTGTATAAAGTGGAATTTGGGGGTCTTGGGGCCAGGTACTGGATCTGACTTCTGGCTGCATTCATAGCCAGAATAGTGCTTGGCAGATAGAAAGAGATTGGTAATACTTGGCAGATTAAAGAGAAGATAGGGTGAGGCTCTGGGCACTGATCTTTGAGCTGGACTTAGGGTCAGATGAGGCGGCTTGGCTATCTTGCCACTAGAGGTCTCCACAGCCTGCAGAAAAGCTGGAAGGGTGTGTAGGAATGTCTAAATGCTGGTGTACTTCCCAGCCCTGGCCCTCATTTCTGGCCTTGTGTGGGTCATCTGGATTTTTCACTAGGTTACAGATAAACAGACTCAGGTCAGGCATAATCTCGGGAGCAGTGGAGTAGGGTAGCTCCTGGGGCCCAACCCAGCTGTTGGAGAAGGTTCTGGATAATGTGGGACTAAAATAGGAAGCATCTTAGGAGACAGGCTGAGCTGTGGCTGAGGCAGCGGATGTTTGTTATAGAGGAAGAGTACTAGAGTGACTAGTCAGTGTCTGAGTGTCTACTACATCTCAAGTACTTTTGTCTTTTTGTTTTTTCGGTACCAGAGATTGACTCTAGGATCTCACACATGCTGGGCGAGCATGTTAACCACTAAGCCATGTCCCTATCTGTTAAAAAAGTAAGATTTATTTTTAATTATGTGTAACCACTAAGCCATGTCCCTATCTGTTAAAAAAGTAAGATTTATTTTTAATTATGTGTATTTATGGGTATCTGTGTTTGGGTATACAGGTGCCCGTGGAGGTCAGAAACATCGGGAGCCCCTAAAGCTGGAGTTACAGGCAATTGTGAGATACCCAGTGGGAGCAGTAGGAACTGAACTTGGGTCCTCTGGAAGAACAGTACCTGCTTATCCACTGAGCCATCTTCCAGCCCTTCTTAAATTTTGAGGCAGAGCCTTGCTAATTGCCAGGTCTGGCCTGGAATTCACTATATATCCTAGGCAGGCTTTGAACCTTTGAACCAGGAGGACCTCTCGAGTAGCTGGTGTTACATGCCTATGTCGTTACATTACTTTGAGTAACATTCACACATGTCCTGTAAAGAGATTAATTTACAGAGGATGCCTCTGAAGTGACTTAAGGACCGCTCAGCACAGAACAGAGCTTGAATTTAAGTCAGATTTAATCTTTAATCATCTGTATGCGGTTCTGTCCACTAACAGAAAGAGGTTGTGACTAGATGAGGGAGTGCACTAGTCCGCAGCCACTAGGGTTAGTCCAGATCCTGGAATATAGAACATGGCAAGTCAAAGTCAAGGTGTTGGAACTTGGGGTGGAAAGGAGGCTCAAGACCTAGCCACTGAGCCTGCCCATTAACTCAGGGGCTGAGTCTCTACATTGTTAGAAAACATGGCTTAGTCTGTTGCTCAGATGAGAGGAAGACTGAGGGAAGAGGCGAGGCTGCACAGGTAGCAAATAGAACCAGGCTAGAAGCCCACTCCCAACTCCTGCTTTTGTACAACATTAGGTTTTTACCTCATTATGCTTAATAATTTTCAAAAAGAATACGCATCTGTCGCAGCTGGGACGTCTATTGGGTAAAAGGACTTGCCACATAAGCCTGAACCTCAGTTTTTTCCCCAGAACCCATGGTGCAAAGAACCAACCTCTGGAAGTTGTCCCTTGACTGTGTGCCCCTGCACACATGACCTCCCTTCCCCTACCTCGCAATGATAAAAAACACCTATTGGATATCCTTAATAGTTCTTTATGGAGAACAATTCTCGTACACAATTGTTTTTCCCAGGGTTTGTCAGTCATGGGTACCATCTTCCGTAACTACCCCTTAGGAAGGACCTAACTCACTGTGACACAAAATGCTAGGTCCCATCTCTCCCTAGGAAAGAGATCATTTCCAAGTGCTGCTCCGCCCCCCAAACCCCAACCTTTGAAGATACGTAATATCCTAAAAGCTACATCAATAAGTGGTTAGAACAACTGGATGATTTATCCTTGTAAATCCAGATGAAAATCAGACAAAAGGGACAGATTCATGCTGATGCCATTTGGCTACAAGATAAAAGTGCTTTGAGCAGAAATTAGCCCCATGACAGTAGAGTGACCATTGTTTTTGGAGCCTAAATAAAAGCCTGGCTGGGGAGCTGGCTGAGGTTAAGAGTTCCAGAGGACCCAAGATTGGATCCCAATACCCATGCCAGGTGGGTCACGACTGCCTATAACCTACCTCCAGGGATCCAGTGCCCTCTTCTGGCCTTGGAGAACTGCACAAGTGTGGCATACATAGACACACACACACAGACATGCACATAAAATTTGTTTTCAAAGCTTACAAACCCCCTGAGAAATTCAAACATTTACAAATAAATTGTGGGGATATATTGTTATCTATTACATTGCTGAAACTTTTATGGCCTTTCCTTGAGCCATAGTCCATCAGCAGTCTACTGACAGGCCCAGCTTCCTAAACTTCAGTGGACATGAGATGATTCCTCCCGAGATGTGGGACCCAGTCAGCACATCTGGGATGAGAACCACAAGTGCATCGGGCAATTCTGTTGAAGGTGACCCCAAGCCCTTTTAAGATTTAAAAGATTAAAATAACGTTTAATGTGTATGTGCTTACATGAGTTTACATGCATCTTGTGTGTAGGAGTTTGCAGAGGCCAGAAGGAATTGGATAGAGGTGGTTGTGAGCCATATATAGGTGCTGGGAACAAGTCCTCTGCGAGAGTGGTAAGTTCTCTTAACTACCAAACCATCTCTCCAGTCCCTGTTTATTTTTATTTATTTATTTATTTTGAGTAAAGGTCTTGTATGTGACACAGGTTAGTCTGGGACTCAGCATCCTCTTGCCTCAACTTCCCAAGTGCAGAACAGTTAAGGGGACAAACACGGCTCTTCTAGCGGCTGATCACTCTAGACAAAGAGGAGGCCAACTGGAACTAGACCGCCAGGGCATGCTTACCACACTCTAGGACACACGGTTGCTGCTTCGAGAGCATAGCTCTGACTGCCACCCCGAAGGCTGGATTAAAAGAGCTTCCTCAGTGAACTGTTCTGAAATTTTTACTGATTTGTCTTAAGAGTTCTAAAAAAGTGCTGTGTGTGTGTGGTGCTGGGGATAGAACCCGTTGCACATGTTAGGCAAGTACTTGACCACTGAGCTAATCCACAGCTCTTATATCCCCTTCTAATCTTGTCAAAACAATACAGTGCTTAAAGTTATCAAACTCCTCCCTTCTGATCTTCAGTGGCAACTTAACCCAAGACTGACCTGTGAAGTTGTTCCTACAAATGATTTGTTCAGGATGGCACAATAATTTGAGTAAATGCTCCCTAAGAAGGAAGAGGGGCATACATACACTGTATCATAGGGCAACTTCAAAATCAACATTTTTGTGTGTGGTGCTGGGGCTTGAACCCAAGTCCTTATGTATGCTCTGGTGATCTACCACCGAGCCACATCCCCAGCCCTTTTTCTGTGTGTTCTCTACCTCCATTCTCGCTCAACAACTCCATTTATTTTTTGTGTTTTTTTTAGTGTGCATGTGCATATCGAGGCTGGGGGACAGATCCAGGTGTCATCCTCAGAAACGCTGTCCACCTCCTTTGAGGTTACCAGTTAGGCTAGACTTGCTGATCATCGAGTCCCTGCCTCCACCTCGCCAGTGCTGGGATTACAAGTGCATGCCACCATGCTTGGCATTTGTATGTGTATTCTGGGGCTCTGACTCAGGTCCTGGTGCTTGCAAGGTAACTGCTTTACCAACAGCTCTACCCCCAGCCCTATCAACTTTTTTTTTTTTTTTTTTTTTTTTTAGACGGGGTCTTCCTGTAGCCCCAGCTGTCCTGGAACTCACTATGTAGACCGGGCTGGTCTTGAACTCACAGAGATCCACCTGCTTCTGCCTCCCGAGTGCTGGGATTAAAGGCGTGGCTGTATTTTATTTTTATGTGTATGTATATTGCCTGCATGTAGGTAAGTACACCCGTGTTGTGCAAGGCCCACAGAGGACAGAGAGGCTGTCGGATCCCCTGGGACTGGAGTTATGGACAGTTGTTAGCTGCCATGTGGGTGCTGGGATTCGAACCCAGGTCTTCTGCAAGAACAGCAAGTGTTCTTAACCGCTGGACCATCTCTCCAGCCCCTCAACTTTTTTTTTTTAATTTCTTTATTTTTACACCCACTTCCCAGATAGCACCCTCCCATAGCCTCCCTCCCCCCACTAGAGCCCTTATACTCTGATATCCCTGCTACTGTCTGCTATCAATTTGTTTTTAAGGGTCTTTTTAGTTCTCTGGGGATGTGTGGGGTAGTCCTGGTTTCCTGGCTTCCTCACAGTTCTTATTGAAGACTGTGCTAGAGATCTATCTGTCCTAATCATTTAAACCATTTCAGTTTTCACAACCCCATGGGGGAGGTAGTACCCCAGTTTTACAGATGAGAATGCTGAAGTTCATGTCTATAAAGTATAAAACAACTGAGATTTGAATGCAGGAATTTGAATTCTTCCTGAATCCCAAGATTTAGTTCCCAAATGGCAAAATAAAATAAAATGCTCAGTCAGGTCTTCAGGTCTTCTGAACATTGTCAGGGTTTTTGCTTGCTTATTTGTTTATGAGACACTATGTAGCCCTGGCTGGCCTGGATTGCTAGGTAGACCAGATTAGCCTTAAACTCACAGAGATCCGCCTGCCTCTGCCTCCCAAGTACTAAGATTAAAGGCATGTGCCACCACAACTGGCATTGCTTGTTTGATTTTTTTGAGATAGAATCTCTCTGGATTGTCTAGGCTGGCTTTAAACTCACCCATGGCAATCCTCCTGCCTTGGCCTTCCAAGTCCTAGGATTACAGGGTTGTGCCACCACTCCTGGTCCAATATTTGAAGAGAAGTAAAAGTCTCCCCTCCTCAGTTCACATGTGTCTACCCGCACCCCATCTCACCCCCTTTTCCCAGGACAGAGTCAGGAGGCCAAGGGAGACCAGGCATCATTTCTCTCTGTACAGTTTTTAATTTTTTATTTTTTGATGTTTGTTGTTCAGATGAATGACACACTCAAGTTACAAAAATGGGGCCTTAAAAGAAGCACATTGTACAACGAACAAGCAGATTGGAGTTAGGAACACTGAAACACTAACCCGCTACCACGAGAAGAGACAGGAAGGGGGTCCGGGAAGGGGAAGGGACTGCCAACACAGGGGTCAGACAACCAAAACGGGGGGGGGGGGCTACCTCAATGGGCACGGAGGAAAGGCAGGTCACTCCAGGCCCACTCAATTTTTGGATGCCACATCTCTGTCTTCCTGGCCCACTAACCACACCGCTCCAAGTCTCCTCTCCCTCATCTCTACCTGGGCATTCAAGTGAGTAGGTGAGAGACAGCCACCCTAAAAAGGACTGAGCCAGTCAGATCTCTACAAGGTATGGTGGTCACATTGCCTTAGGGCAGCCTTGGGTTTGGAAGGAGATGGTAGCAGCAGTGGGCTTAGGAGCCAGAGGTGCTGATGAAAGGCCAGGCCCCAGCTTCATCCCCAAAGGTGCCTGCCCCTCCCCTAGCCCAACATGATCCGAAGGGCCTCTGTTCTGGAGAGGCCCCAGTCACCCTGCAATTATATAAATAAATAAATAAATACTGAGCCCCTGGGCTTGGAGGACAGGATGGGGGAAGGGCACCAGGGCTAGAGGAAAGGGGGGGGCAGAGGAAGGGGGGTCACAGACAAAGTCAATAGTTGTCTCCGTCCCAGCAATACTTCTCTGGATTTGTTTTTGTTTTTTTTTTTTTTTTTTTTTTTGCTCCCTTTGTTTTGTTTTTGTTTGTTTAACAAGGAGCTAACATCTCAAGGACAAATACTTAAAAATATACATTATTATTTTTTCTTTTTTCACTTTTCCACCTTTGTCATCGTCGTCTTGCTTTGGAGACTGCTGAGGTCAAAGTTTAAACCGCACAAAAGAACTGCGGCTTGAAGTTTTTGTGTTTTGTTTTTTTTTTTCATTTTTAAATTTTTTTTTTCACTTTTTTCCCCAACGTATAAAAAGGTAGCGGAGTTGTCTGTGGGTTTTTTTTTTTTTTTTTTTTTAATGGTTAAATCTTTGGTTTGTTTCTTTTTTCTCTTGGAGGCCTTTATCTTTCGCACTTGCCTTTCCCACTCAGAGACCGGTGGGGGCCCGCGTGTCTCAATCTTGTTCATCTGTCTCTCACTCAGTTCCCCCTACCCTGGGCTAGAGGGAGAGAGAGGCACCCTGGAAATGGACTGAACTAGTCAGGTCAAGAGGTCCCCCCCCAACTTGGCTAGTTCCTGGCTGGAATTCCCCAGGGCAAGGGGCTTGGAACATTCTTGACCTTCTCCAGGGAGAACATGTGGAAAATTCACACCTACTCCCTCCTGGTCTTAGCCCCAACTTCTACAGGAGCTTGGGAACCTCTTCCCTCCCCACCCCCATACACATATCCACCTCCCTGCCCCCATACACATATCCAGCCCCTTTCTCCCACTTCGAGGCCCTACCCTGCTCCCCAGAAGGGAACAGAGCGAGGTGGCTTATTTACTGGCATTTTTTTGTTTTTTTTTTTGGCACAATTAAAAGGCCCACCATTAGGGCAGACCCAGTCTCTGTCCCTCCCTTAAGTAGGAGGTCAGGAGAGAAGAAATTCAGAGTCCCTCTCCCAAGTCCACTCATCTTTCTGCTCTAGCCCAGACCCTTGGCCCACCACCTGACAGCTAGCCCAGAGCTTGGCCTGGGGTCTCCCTCTCCATCCCACATAAAGCTCCCTAGCCCTCCAACTCTCTCACTCCACACACAGACACACGGACATAGGCTCTGTACAGACCACAAAATAAAACGATGAGATAGTTTTGTTTCCCGGAGTCGAGACGGGGGTGACTGGAAGGGGCAGGTGGGGTCTGGGGGGCTGGAATTCCCCCATCACCTTCCCAACCCTGGCTCCCTCCAGCCCCCCAGCCCCTTGCCCTGGCTGGCCCCCAGCCAACGATATTTGGTTTCCTTTTTTTAACATTAAAGTTCTATGAGGTATTTGGTGCCTTATCTCGAGTCCTCAGGGGAGGTGGGACCCAGGGGGGAGACCTGGGGCTCACCTGCCCCTCCCTCCCTCCCTCCCTCCCACACCCTTCCCAATATTTGGTTTCACAGCTGTAGTTAAAGCTTGGGATTTGGTTATTTTTTCCCCCTCCCAGGAATTTTCTTTTTTTCTTGTTTTTCGTTTCCCAGTGTGGGGGTTGGATGGGGAGGGTCCCCATCACCCCAGCTGTATGGGGGTCCCTCCACCAGTGTCAGGGCATCTGCCCCATCCCTGCCCCCTGCTTCCTCCCCTCTTTCTGCCCCCCCCACGCTGGGGTCGGGGGAGGTCCCAGGTGGGGACTGGAGGAAGAAACAGGGTGAATTGGGTGGTGGTGAGTCCTGGATTTTCTTTCCTTTTTT